CAGGACAAGAGATTAGAACAAGAGACAGAGAAAGCAAGAGCCAGAGAACAGAAAGTTTGAACTCTGTAATTGTTGCAAAAAAGGGAACCAATAAACCTTCAACAAGAATCAAGAAGTTTGGATATGAAATCTTTTCTTTCCTGCGTATAGAAACTGGACCCCATTGCCTCTTAGTGGCTTGAAGAACTTTTCGTTGGATGTTTGGTTCGACAAACAATCACCACTATACTAACTGTTGTAGCATTGAAGGCGAGCTTCCTGCAGAGTTTTACTGTCTCCGCAGAGCACACGCTGCCTCTGTAACTTTGTGTGATCTGGGGAGAGATATAGTGGACATTTAGGGATCGTAGTAGAAGAAGAAACAGTCAAGGAACGGGAATCTTTGTCCCAAAGCTAACCGGAAGGCGGAAAACGAGGAGAAACCCTGAGCTTTCCCAGCTGGAAGTGGAGCCTCCAGGTTGGTTTGTGTCCATGATCAGTGTGATGCTGTGTGGACCTGATCTTTATTCATTGTGTTTGTCCAGCAGACCATGGGACAGGATTTGTTCTGTTAACCCGATTCTTTAACTGGAAACCTGCGAATAAGCCAGAGTAGATCAAGAGTAAAAAATGAGCATTTATTGGGTCAGAGTTAAGTGTTAATCACTGGGCTCTGACAGACTAAAACCTCTCTCTGGGTCTCAGTGGGCAAAGAGCCCTGAGATCTGGGTGATGGGCATTATCTCCTGGGCTCCATCCGCCTCCTCAAAGGAGGACTGGACACAACCAAGTCCTATTGGCCAGTTACCTCAAAGACTAACAAGCCGGGTCCTAATTCATGCAGGTGACATTGGAACGTGGTAGCAAATGATGTGTGTGTGTGTGTTTGTGTTGACTTAAAGACGTGGATCTAATGCAACAGAGGAAGAAAAGGAGAGACAGAAAAAGAGAGAGTCTGTGGGCACATCCAGAGACTTCAACACAAAATATAGTTTAAAAGAAAAGAAAACTATCAGTAATTTACATAGATCATGCTATAGCTAATGCTATGCTATAACTAATGCTATACACTATGCTAAAGTGAGTAATTCTAGCCAAATTCTAACAAGGATAAAGACTTTTCTTCCAGTTTTATCAGAGCCAAGACACAATAACTGAGTTCTAAGCCTCAAGATGTGGAATATTGGGGGATATCTCATTAAATTAGATAAAGAGATAACAAATTAGATATCAAATGGTGTGTGTGTGTGTGTGTGTGTGTGTGTGTGTGTGTGTATCAGATAAATTTGTGTGTGCATTAACTTAAAGCAATTTGTAGAAAGGCACTTTAGGGAGTTCCGTCCGTTTTATTTTATTAGTTTACGGGCAGTTCTGCCACATCCAAGATCGCTGCAACGGACGAACAGGCGTCTACGTATATATGTCTATGGTCAGCCTTATATGATAGCGTTCACCTTTGGCTAAGTCTCACCGTGTGGCTGGAAGAAGTGAAAGTAAGATTTCACAAAAAAATAAGCAAGAATTTCAGTTATCTAAAATGCAGCTGCAGACCAGGGGTTGAAGTGGTTGGGTTTTAATAATAAGACAGAGCACAAAACACAAGCCAGTCATCTAAATAGGCACACACAAATGTATAAAAAAACACCAAGTGAAATCAAGCTTTACAGTGGGTCTTCATGGCAAAGCAAGTCTGTGTCCAATAGCAATTTTAAAGTAGGTTATTAATAAATTCATATACTTATGTTGAAAATAATATATTTGTAAAGACTATTATTAATATTGATCCTTTATTCAAAATGTTTGATTTTGATATTTTCATTTTGCAGAAAATTGCTTCACGGTATGAAAAGTTTCCCTTTGCTACAAATAAAATTAGGTTGATCTTTAAATCTCTTCAACATCCATTGTTTTTCTGTTTGTAAGGCTTGATGCATTACTATAGTGCCATATATTTCTGTTGAAAAATCTATAGGTCGTTTACATTCGTATTACCTTCATATTTCGTATTCTCGACGGTAAATGAGGCGGCACAGTGGTGTGGTGGTTAGCACTGTCGCCTCCCAGCAAGAGGGTTCTGGGTTCGAATCCCGGGGGAACCAGGACCTTTCTGGGTGGAGTTTGAATGTTCTCCCTGTGTCTGCGTGGGTTCTCTCCGGGTTCTCTGGCTTCCTCCCACCGTCCAAAAACCTGCATGTTAGGCTGATTGGAGATTGGGGAAATTGCCCTTAGGAGTGAATGTGAGTGTGAGTGGTTGTTTGTCCTTGTGTGTCTCTGTGTGGCCCTGCGATGGACTGGCGGACTGTCCAGGGTTTACCCTGCCTCTCGCCCGTTGACCACTGGGATAGGCTCCAGTTCCCCCCGCGACCCCATGAGGGAATAAGCGGTATTGATAATGGATGGATGGATGGACGGTAAATGAAAGCATCAACAACAGCCAATGAGCAATAAATTAAAAAAAAAAGGGTTTAAACTCATGAACGTCAGGGAACATTAGCTCGTCACAGCACGTGGACAATTTAAGCAAGATTTGGCACATTTAGGCATTACATTTAGTTTCTATTACTTTTTGGGTTACACAGGTACACTCATAGATGTGATAAGTCCCATAATAATATTGTTTTTTATTTTACATTTGACACCATATCGAGACCAACTGTTTGATTGACTGTGATCAAGCTTTCATGTGTGAACAAGACTAAACTTCAGTATATTTCAGATATTGTGAGTCTTAATTTTGTCATTAAAAATGACAACGATCTCATTTGGTAATTTAGGACCATGATCATCCGGTGTTGCTGGGAATATATGCCGAATAATTCTGTTTCCATTCTGATAAAAGTGCGTGTACACGTGATTCCCGTAAAGTCCATTGGGCATGCGCACTACAACAGTCAGCGTGAGTAACCGTGTGGTTATGACGTGGTCTGTATGGTGCTGAGACTCAGCCGCTGAGCAAACAGTTTAGCCTCCCTGGCGGTCCAAAAGCGGTCTGTTCTGTCTGGATATCTGCGTTTACTATCGGTACGCAACACATTTTTGTTCCTTTTTAAACTTGAAGCTAGCAGTAAATGAGTTTATTTCCAGATAACCAGTTTTTGTGTTATTATATTTGGTTAGCTGATGCTAGCACTTTATGAGATAAGCTAGTGTTGTGGGTTAGCTGAGCATATGATAAAACTGATACTCCACGTTCATTACAGATAACTTGTTGATTAATGCCGAGTTCACAACGTAAACAATGCTAATTTGCCTATATATAGTAGTAGGAAGGAGAATGAACCCAGCCGACAGGTTTGTTGGTGAACCAGGTCGCTAGAATAGTTAAGTAAGTTAATTATGATTATTTTTAGTCCTTTGTTAGGTGGCCGTGTTTGTCCTCTATCTAATGTTCCTGCACACAAAAAAGGGGGAAAAAATAGACAAAGGGATTTTTGATAATGTTTTGGCCCTTCCTCTTCACAGTTTTGGTTTCGGTGCCTCAGTTTGTTTTACTGGACGTTATCTGAAAGCTCATGCAAATAACATCTGAGGATGTCTTTTTTGTTTTGTTTTTAATGACGCAGTCTGTTCTTTTTTTATTTGCCTTCAGTGTAAACTGAGCAAGTGTATTTGAGTGTCCCACCCAGGAGAGTTGTCCACAGGTGGAAACTATTCAAATAGGTTGTGCCTGAGAGAACTTGAATTGGAAATGTGTAGATGTTGTCTCTCCATGTTGCCTGATCTCTAACGTACCTGTTAGAGATGTGATATGGCACCCAGAGCTGAGAGTCATGCTGGTGCTGCCCTCAGATCTGATAGGAAGAGCTCTTTGTTACAGTCCAAAGAGGCTCCCTTTGCCAAATGCCCTGTCTTGCTATGATCACAATGTCAAGCAGCAAGTTTGAAACCATGCCAAGAGTCTAGTATGTGGTTAACTCACACCAACTGTGTCCTGTGGCTCTAAATCACAGCTTATTTAGGGTTATTATAGCTGTTGTACGCTGACGTTATGACATAGTGTTTATAGATCGTGTCAGGTTTGAGCTTGTGGTTGTCAGGTTATAAAAGAACGTGAGTTAAGAAGAATTTGTTTGGATTTTTGTGGTGAACTGTGTCTTCAGACGGGAAGTGAAACAAAATTAGTTGCAAACAAAACTGACAAATATTTGCATTCTCAGCGATGACCGTGTCTGCGGGGTCGTCTCGGGCCATTGTGTAAAAGTGTTGGCCGGGCAGTTAGCTTTAAGGGTAAAGCTCACAGATCAAAGTTATGACACCTTGTCAGACTTTGGGGGCAGAGACAAATGGGGCTTTTCTTTTGTGCATACAGTATGAGGGGCCATACAAAATGGATGAGTGAAATTACAGGGTTTCTCTCACACACACACACCTCAACAGGGTGTGGGTCAGTGGGAGGAGAAAGGAGCCGTGGCCCACAGACTAACTTTAATTAGTACTTGCTGCATTACTGTTATGGAAGCAGCACTTCCTGTGCCGGCTTCTTCTTTGGGATGAAACAGATGCTTAACCTAAAAATAAAATCAATCAGTTTTTGTTTTTTTCTACAGGCCACAATGAGGTGGTGACCCTGGACAGAGAGATGATTGCAGCTTGGCGCAGGGAAAGGACAGAGCAGAGAGACTGAAAGAGAAGAATGGACAGGAGTGTCTGGAGCTGCTGGCGAGGTGTCTTCTCCACTGCTGTGCTGTATGGCTCGCTGGCCCTGTTTACCTCCATCCTCCACAATGTCTTCCTGCTCTATTACGTGGAGACCTTTGTGTCCGTCTACAAGATTGATAAAATCTCTTTTTGGGTGGGAGAGGTGAGTGAAGAGGTTAATCTGATCAAATATGCTAGGTCTTTTTCGGGAAGTTAACATCAAGTTATCCATAATCCCTTATCACCATTTCTCAAATGATTTGTCTTCTCCACAGACCATCTTCCTTATCTGGAACAGTCTGAACGACCCTCTCTTCGGCTGGCTGAGCGACCGATCATTCCTCACCTCCTCTCCGTAAGCGTCTGCATTGGCCCCCTTCTTTTACCCCAAAGAAAAAGCGTCAAGAAAGGCTATAAGAAAAATTCAGAGATTTAAGAAGTTCTTTTCACAAGGCTTTGAATGTAATTTCACTACATGACAAAAACAGGATTTCTGTTGTATATTTGTCATTGTTTCTTTTGAAATGTGTATTTATTTCATACTCTAATAATTTTTTTTAATTGCTGGCTTGTTTTATTTCCCATCCATTGTTTAATGTTTCAATGTTTGACTGATTTGACTTTGAATACATAAATATATGTAATCCTCTTATTCTAACTTTTTATATACAATAGTGGCAAAATATATCTTTAGTTTTTCTTGGGTTGTGTATTTTCCACGTGTGCTTTATGTGACATCTGCATTCTGCTCCTACATCTAACCCGGATGCTTTTACAGTAAGTTCTGTGAGTCAGGAGCAGCTAGCTATTGTCAAACAAGAGGCGGCTTCATTGTGTTTATATTTCTGTCATTAAGTAAAGCAGCTCTGTGTAGCCAGCCACTGTTGATATTAGAAATAAGGAATTGAAGATTTTAACATCCGGGCTCTTTGGCTGGATGACGTGTGAATTCTGCTTTCACGCTCTACCCAAAACCATCTGCCGTTTTCTGGGAGGAAACGGCTGAATATTCACCGAGCTTCATGTGTTTGAGCTGTGCTTTGTTTTTTTCCCCACGCAGGTCGGGCTCTCAGGTCACTTCTCCGGAGGTGGTGCTCAGGCGTCTGAAGGCCCTCTCCACCAATGGGCCTCTCTTTGCCGTGTCGTTCCTGGCGTTCTGGGTGGCGTGGGCCCGGCCGGGCCTGCAGTTCCTGCTGTGCCTGTGTCTGTACGACGGCTTCCTCACCATGGTGGACCTCCACCACAGCGCCCTGCTGGCCGACCTGGCCGTGTCCGCCACCGACCGCACGCGCCTCAACTTCCACTGCTCTGTGTTCAGTGCTTTGGGATCCTTTTCTGTTTTCCTGTCTTATTCTTTTTGGGACAAGGAGGACTTCTACTTCTTCCGTCTCTTCTGCGTGGCCCTGGCGGCTTTTTCCGTCCTCGGCTTTTTCTTCGTGTCCCGGTTGCTGCGGCGCCGTTTTGAAAAAGAAATTCGTCCCAAACAAGACGAGGCTTCAACACTAAAAGAGTACGATTTTTTTTTTCTTTTTTAAAGAGGCTTTTTCCCTGACTTGTTTTTTTGGTGACTTATCTGACTTTCTCTGTGCCCTCCCAGGCTGAGTGTTGGCCATGCTCCACTTACGCATCCCGAGAAGCCTGTCACCATTGGACAGTATCTCAAGCAGCTCTCCAAACATCGGAACTTCATGTGGTTTGTGTCAATGAACCTCATTCAGGTGAGATGCTCCATCAGAGATATGTTTACATATATTTTTGCATATTGGTGTGTTTATTTTTAGTTGGTCAAATTAACATCTGTTTAAAACAGTGGACATTTATCACTGATCACAGATCGGCATCTCGCGAGAATAGTTCTCAGAGACTCGGGTGCTCAGCCTTTTGTTTGTCTGTTTGCTCTGCAGGTGTTTCACTGCCACTTCAACAGCAACTTCTTCCCTCTTTTCCTGGAGCATCTTTTGTCTGACAGCATATCTGCTTCCACAGGTTCCATCTTACTTGGTAAGAGCCGATCCAGGTGGTGGATGACTCACTCATCCATCACTTCTTCTTCTTCTTCTCATCACAGAAGTAGTTGAGAAAGCCTTTATCTATGAATAATCAAACATGGCAGACATGCCCTCAGCCCATGATTCACCGAGCTGACTGTAAACAGCTGCGTCCCCACGTCATTCACATGGCCAGAGAAAGACATTGGTTTGGTGAAATAGTTAAAACAAATCTTTTTTTGTTGTTGCTTTTTGTCTTTAATGCAAGCTTAAGTGCTTAATAAAAGCAGGAATCTATAGGAGGATATTAAATTTCAAACAAAAACACACCAAAACACTTAAAACACTGTTTAATTCTGACTTCTAGCAAACACATCTTGGATTATTTTTTATGTGGATGACCTTCCTGTTTACTTTCATATTATTTTTGCATGGCGTCTAGTTCTAAAACTCTGATCTGTAAGGACCGCTGCCCCGCAGGTTTGAGATGTTTCCCTGCTTCCACACACCTGATTCTAATCAGTGAGACATTATCAGGCTTGTGTAGAACTTTGCAATCTTTTTGAGGAGATCAATTTAATCTGAGTCAAGTGTGTTGAAGAGGGGAAACTTTTGGAAACCTGCAGGAGTTTGTCACACCTGATCTGTGTGACCAGTTGTTTTTGCTTAGAAACTAAGCAAAGTCCCTCAGAAGCTTCTATTTTTTTTCTTGAGAGGGGGTGCCTCCTTAATTGTCTGAAAGAGAATCAGTCAGATTTGTCTATACTGCTGCTTAACTCGTTAGTTTGAAAGTAAAGTGCATATTGTTGCTCTCTGGTGAAACCAGTGATTTGGAGCTTTGAAAAATATCTGCTGATATTTAGCAGCTGACAGAGTTGCAGCTAAAACAAAAACAGCGTCCCCTCCTCACACTTCTTTGCACTCTTTCCCCAAACCTCCAGTCCTCTTTCTTTCCCCCCCAAATGATTTTTTCTGTTATTTCATTGTTTGCTCTTTAGTTTTTGATGCAGCTCTGCCTCTGCTCCCACACAGGGATCTCTTACATTGCCCCCCACCTGAACAACCTGTATTTCCTAACGCTGTGCCAGCGTTATGGGGTGTACCAGGTTATCCGCTGGCTGTTCATGCTCAAACTGGGACTTAGTGTGGTTATGCTGCTTGCAGGCGCTGACCACATTTATCTGCTGTGCATCTTCATCGCTAGGTATGGTCATCAATACCCGCATCGGGAATCGGATGTGTGATAGTTTCTGCTTTCTTTTCTTGTTTCTTTTTTGTTCCTTTTTAAGATTTTATATTTTACAAAGCTTAACACGCCAACACAGAACAGCACATCAGTGGAATGGCACCAAAAACACGACACTTTTCACCATCTTTCACTGAAATTGAGGCAAAATTCCAGTTCTCTCTCCTCTATTTTCTTCCTTTATAAGTCATTTGTAGCGGCTGGCCACAGCTGTTGTGGTTGTAAACAATGTGAAGGCTTTTGCTTCTTTTCTCTCAGATCTTCAGGGCTTTGCGAATCCACAAGTTTTAAACCTGTTACTCCATTTAAAACATACTGTAATGTGGTTCTGCACCTGCAGACCATGAAGCACTCTCTGTTCTCTACACATTCATGTCCCACCCGACTGGCTGCTGGTGACAAGTGTCATTTGATACCTTTTTTTGTTTTTCAGTAACCGGGTGTTCACCGAGGGCACCTGCAAGCTGCTGAAGCTGGTCATTTCTGACCTGGTGGACGAGGACTTTGTGGTAAACAGACGTCAGCAGGCCACCTCCGCTCTCCTCTTTGGGATGGTTGCCCTGCTGACCAAACCTGGCCAGACTTTTGCCCCACTCATTGGCACCTGGCTTCTCTGTGTTTACACAGGTACAGAGACAAACTGCGAGCTTGGACCTGAATAAGCCGACGTTTTAGATGCTTTCCGTGATCACTGCTGGTTGCTTTGATTGTAGATATAGATATATAAATACTTTTTTTCAGAAATGGGGCCATAAAATGGTGACTTGTACAAAAAAATCAGAAACGTTTCCTGTGATTTCCTTAGTTTTTTGCTCACCAGTACAGTTAGCTCCTGTTCTTTGGGTATGTGCTTATCTAATTGTCTAAAAAATTGTCTTTAGTTTGCATTAACCAAAGTGCTTTTTCTCCTCTTGGACTTTTTCACCAAGGTTACGACATATTTGAGAGGGAGCCGGTGAAGGACTCCGTTTTGTCACCAGACGACGCCTCCAGCTCAGGGACTCCGCCTCTACGCCTGGGCTGCTTCTACATGTTGGTGTTCGTGCCTATCACCTGTGCCCTGCTCCAGCTGGCCGCCTGGTCGCGCTTCACACTTCACGGCCGAAAGCTTCAGGGAATCAAGGCTCTGCGGCAGGGGGTCCAGCACGGCCACTTTATCGACGTCAAGGCCATTTGAAATGAAGAGAGCCGCAGAAAGCAGCACACAGGCACTTTCAAACATCCGACTCGCGTATTGAAAATGTCTTACAAGGAGCAGACCGCTGCTGCTGTCTTCACCCTGCAGCATCCACATGAAGTGTCGCACAACACGTGTCCTGGGGAAACGCACAGCAGGCTGACACAATTCCTCTCAGAAGGACGTGAAGCGGCATTTTTGAAAATAATGGAAATTGCCTTATTTTTTATATTAAATTCACATTATATTTATATTTAAAAGAGTGACCAAAAGCTAACATAAAACCAATCAATCCTTAGACTGCACATGGACCAAGGTAGTAGTATTTCTCACGGTGCGGACCAAATATGAAGTGCCCAGTTCGAAACTGTAAAGTAACTGTATGTATAACTGCGGCGTTGAACATTTTGAAAGTTCTTGCCGCTGTTATAAAGGAGCTCAATGAGTGCAGGTTTACAGATTTTTGTTAAAATTGCGACCAACAGACTGAATAATATTGAATTGTGTTCAGAGTGACTGACTTTGCGTCAAACCTGCACTTCAGAAATGATCGATTTACGGTCGATAACAAACTGAATGCCCTGCCATTTTTTATTATATGTAACTGTATATTGCAGTTTGTCCAGTATTGAATCTGTTTTAGTACAGAACTGCCATTTGTCTGTGGTTCATCAAAGATTCTGGTTTTTGACACTTTGTTATCATGAAGTCGGAGATGATACCATCAGCTAACTTGTTTGTATCTGAATAAGCGTGAGACATTGCCACAAATAAACTTTATCTATGTTGGGTTTCAATAAAAATTGGATGTACTGTGAAACTTGATCAAAGTATTGAATAACTTTTAAAAATAAAAAAATAGCTTGGTGAGAGTGAAAAAACAGCAACGTTGCTCTCAGGTTATTGCTTAAACATTGGTGGTAAAAAAAACTAAACCTGAATAGTCATAGCCCAAAACTCATTCAGAAGATATGTTCTTTTTTTTTTTTTACAACAAAAAAGCCTCGAGCAACTCCACTCTTCGGTAAGAATGACAACTGCCGTCAGGTGTAGTTTGTTCCCGTTACATTATTTAAACTTGAATTATTAAGCATTTCTGACAGGAAAGTTAGGTTAATAGATTGTAGTTGGCTCTTGCAAAAAACTTCTTAGTAGGACGAACTTTTCTATACCGAAATGGTCGTGTAACAATAGCCTGTTACAATCGTTTAACTGTTGTCAGGTTTTTGGTTTCCTTTTTTAATCACTTCAGAAGCAGTTCGTAGATGTTTTAAGAAGAAAAATCAATTTGTTTAATCATTAAGACCACTTGTTTTACAAAAAACTTACTTGTAGTGATTGCAGAAACCAAGACAAATCAATGTTTAACATGTGCCTATACAATGCATTGCGCATGCGTATGGTCGTTGTTAGCTTTTTCCTCAAAGTTCATTTAATAACAATCAGTAACTTGTCAAAAATGATTACTGATAACCTACTAGGGTTGTCACGATACTAAAATTTTCAACTCGATACCGATACTCAGGAAAATACTCGATACTCGATACCATTTTCGATACCACAAGGATAAAAACAAACACCCCAAAATTTAACTGAATTTTGACAGTTTAGTGTCTTTCATTTCAAACTGACCTGTTACTGATGTTATCGTGGCTGGTGGCCCGAATTAATTACCCTAATCCTGACCCTAACCCTAATCCTAACCCTGACCCTAACCCTGACCCTCCAGCCTTCATAATTGTGAGAAACAATTTTTGGGTTAAACATGTTTGGACTTATTGTACAAACTTATTTAACATCCACTATTTTGACATAATATTATGGATAGAGTTTAATGGTCCTGGTTCCCCCGGGACTCCAACCCAGAACCCTCTGGTTCCCCCGGGGACTCCAACCCAGAACCCTCTGGTCCTGGTTCCCCCGGGACTCCAACCCAGTGTTGCCAACTCCTCAGTAAGGAAAGTAGCTATTGGCTCTGCTAAAAGTCGCTAGAAGTCGCCAAATGACGTCATCGCCTAATTTGCATAATCTGCCACGTGACGTGATGTGCTGCAGGGGCGGAGCGGCACCGCGTGATCATTTCGGCCGTCAATCCCGGCGCATGCGCGTTTCATTTGCAGTCCGGACGCTGAGGGTAAACATGCTGTGGGTCCTCCCCACCCCCCTAATAAACCGGAGGGACTGGTTTTAACGCTGGACGGTCGCTCTTTAAGGAATAAAAAATACCAACGGGCTGCAAACTAAGAAGACCTTACGAGACGAGGACGAAGAAGTGTCTGGAAGCAGCTGTGGACGCGGAGCGGTTCTCTCTAAATGAGACGGAATGGACGGCGGCGGGGATAACGTGGCTCATGAATCTGCGGGTAGCTACACAATTCTCCTGTTTGTCTTTAGCTGAGGACGCATGCTTAAAACATAAAGCTAGCAGCTGCCTTACCTTCTAACGCGGTATTACACTATAATAAAGTTTACTTTGGCCGTCTCTAGAAAAACGTGAAAGTGGGGCTCCACCATCTTTTGATTTCTGGGGTTTTACTTGCGCGGGAACGATGAAAACGAATCCCGTCCTCAAACTAAACGAGTTCGATATAAACCAAGAAAGCAAAAACGCCTCTCGTTCAGTTAATTATTTAGCAAAATTCAGGAGTCTGGAGCAGGAGTGTGTTTACACAATGTCAAGGAGGAAAGACATCAGCCATAACCTAAGAGTCATCTGGATTCCACCACCCCTTAGAGAGAGAGTTTATTCACAGGTGAAGACATTCAGGATGGCTGCCAGTTTGTCCAACAAGGTCCCCCCTAGCTCATCCATCCCAGATGATCCGAGCAGGTTCTGCAGCACCAGGACCTTAAAGTCCACC